CCCTCTAGGAGCTGTGGGTGTGCTCCCGTAGGAAGGGAGCATGTAAGCATCTGAAGTTGGGCATCAGATTAACTAGGAAAGTGTCAGCCTCCCAGAAGGTAAGGCAGAGGGACACTGCTTCAGCCGTGTAAAATAACAGTTGTACTAAGCATCTGTGTTCTGTGATTGTCTTATAAATACTTAAAAGTTTTAAAGGGTGAGGTGTTAATCAAAATATGAAGCAAGCACAATGCAACTAGAGGAGGTTTGTTTAGGTTATTGACTTAATTTTTTCATGTGACGCTTGCAAATTAAAAAGTAGTGTTTAGTTTCTATAGATTCCCTAGTATGCCCAGCCTTGAATGAATGAATGAGTGCTAGCTCTGTAAATAGCACATCAGTCTTGTACTTCCAACAGATTAAGAATTCTTAACTTTAAATCAAGAATTAAGAATTAATTAAGATTAAGAATTTTAGCGCAATGTGGCATGTTGGACCAGACACATTGATGAACTTCAAGCAAGTTGATGCAGCTTTACTCCTGGGTTATTCCAGACTGGCAAGAATGCCTAAATATGTATTTTAGCAATTGCTGATCTACTGTTCTGGCAAAACTTCCTATTCTAATTTGAGTCCTTAAAATAACTTGCAATGTCTTGTAGAGGATGAAAGTGGCTAAATGTTATTGAACAATAAAGGCTGATCCTAAAAGGAAAAAAAGATTCTAGAGATTGGTTTGTCTGTGTCATAAACAAACATGGGATTATTGTCTACTCTTTAAAGTGTTTTAAGTCTGCTTATTTAAGCATCAAAGGGAATGGGGATTTTGTTCCTGCTTTGAAGAAATTGAACTGTCACAAATGATCTCATGATTGAAATACTGCTTACGCTCCTTTTGCTGGCTTGTACGGAAGTTGGTAATGCTTTCTAGCCCTCACTGTTAGCTTCTCACTCTCATACAGATCACTGTAATCAGGCTGTGCTTATGAAGAAAGTTTGTTTTATGAACTGAACTTACAAATCCAGCCATAAACTTAAAATGTGTAATAAAATAGTATCTCAGGTCCCTCTGTGGTGTTAATAGAATTTCCCTATTGCATTTGAAGATGCTTAGATCTCAGAAGACAGAACTTTTTGGAGCTATTTGGCTTCTGTACCCTTGTGACTTCCACTTGCTGTCACTAATATTCATATGCAATTTAAGGCTGTAGAGCAATAATTTTTTTCCCTTTTTTTTTTTTTTCTCTTACTGCCTTATGCTGGAAGCCTTGATTTTTATATAATAAAAGTGTACTCATCATGTACTCATCAATTTATGAATTTCTGCTTGCTGCTGTAATATATAAATTTTGGCAAGATCTTTGACATGGGTGGTTACTGTTCTGATATCGTCTCACTATTTGTTTAAATTATTATAAAGCACATTGATGTGTGGATGTGATGTAAGAATTTAAAAAAAAGCAACCCACAGAACTGTGCTGAGGTAATGAGTCAGAAGAACATGTCAGATCACAGCAAGAGAGGGTTTTTTTCTGTACTAATATGGAAAACTTATGTATCTTATAGGCTACCTGGTCAGAAGACAAAGGAGTAGTTTTGTGAGCAGCAAAAAAATCAGTGCTTGATTTCCTGTGAACTTTAGTTGAATTATATAAGTATTCTTTATCTCTGCATATAACTATAAAGTAACCTTCCTGTTCTATAAAATTCTCATTTTTAAATCATTCTTTTTTAGAAAACCAAACTTTAGTCTGTGGTCCTGCACACCATTCGTTCTGGCCACTTACTGCCACCTCTTGACTACTGCACAGTTATTTATGTGGTGCTGTGGCTGATCAAGGAACTGATCTGACTGAAAACCAATGTGACTGGTTTCCTTGTCTGCATTATTATGTCGGTGCCCAAAAAGTTATGCCAGCAGTATGGAGGAGGCAGGGATACAAATGCAGTTGACTGAGAGCTGGGATTGTCTAAGCCAGTTTATACCTATCCTAGTGAGCATGCAGTGATGGCATGACTTAATTTGGCAAACTGCTGGGATTCAGTGCCAAGAGGGAGGTGGTGGCAAGGCAGACAGTGAAGCCTTGCCCTTTCAACAGTACAGGGTTGTACGTTTCAGCGTACATTCCTGCAATCAGTGATATGAGCTATATTCCCTGCTGGTCTCAAGTGTGATTCAGTAAGGAATCTGAGCCCATCTCAAGAATTTTTGCTGCTGGGGAAGGGACTTGTCCTGCTCATCCCCCTTCTTTCTCTTTTAGCCATGAAATTCTGTGTCCTCCGTGACTGCTTCTGGCAGTCTTCTCGCCATGGAGTTGAGTCGTTCCATTTATAAACCCATCAGAAAAGTAACTTTGTTTTTTTGAAGTTTATTTCCCTCATTTTAGCAAAAGGAGGGGAGAGGGTACAAATGATCGTTCATTGGCAGTAATCTGTTAGATCAGCTGAGTTATCTGATGACGTGCTGTTGAGCTATAGCTTCATGTATGTTTTAAGCCAGTTTGAGCCTCTAAGGCTTATCATGTGGGAATGGTTCAAAGCTGTGTCAGAGGAGGTTCAGACTTCCCATTAGGAAGTGTTCCTTTACTGAGGGTGGTCAAACACTGGAACAGGCTTCCTAGAGAGGTTGTTGATGCCCAAAGCCTGTTGGTGTTTAAGCGGCATTTAATTTTTGGTCAGCCCTGAAGTGGTGAGTCACTTAGACTAGGTGACTGTTGTAGGTCCAACTGAAATACTCTGTTCTATTCTGTAACTTGCATTCACCCATTTGTCCTCTCTGCTACTACCCCAACTGTTTCCCCATTTATATTTTCTGATTTTGAGTGCAAGTGCATTGAGAGTAGAATTCAGGATAAATCTCACCTCAGGAGGATGGAAGCAGGATGAATTGAGCAGAAGTCTGGAGCTTGTGACTGCAGTCTTGTGGCTGTTTTGTGCGTAGGTGTGTGTAGCTGTGTTTTGAGCTTGGCTTCAGAGTTGCTGTAATGCACCTGTTATTAGGTATATTTTGGCTTTTTTGGGCACTTCTTTGTGTGCTGGTACTAGCCTTCTAACTGAAATTTATTTTTTGTAAATTTTCAGTCAGAGGGGTTCATTAATCCTACTTTCTGTACAGCTGCGTACACAGTAGGTACCAAGAATTGGCAGACACCGGACAAGTAGGTGGGAGAGCAGAACCAACCTTTTTGGCTAGAGCCCAAACTCAATGGGTTAAAATAACCAGGTAATTATGGACAAATGTTTTCTTTCATCTACTACCTGGTGTTATGAAACCAGGTGAAACTTAAGTCTTTGTTATGGTTTAACCCCAGCTGGCAATGAGCACCTCGCAGGCACTCACTCACTCCCCTCGGTGGAATGGGGGAGGGAGTTGGAAGAGTAAAAGTGAGAAAACTCGTGGGTTGAGATAAAGACAGGTTAATAGGTAAAGCAAAAGCTGCATATGCAAGCAAAGCAAAACAAGGAATTCATTCGCCATTCCCATCAGCAGGCAGGTGTTCAGCCATCTCCAGGAAAGCAGGGCTCCATCACACATAACGGTTACTTGGGAAGACAAAACGCTGTAACTCCAAATGTCCCCCATGTACTTCTTCCCCCAGCTTTATATGCTGAGCATGATGTCATATGGTATGGAATACCCCTGTGGTCAATTGGGGTCAGCTGTCTCAGCTGTCCCACCTCCCAGCTTGTTGTGCATCCCCAGCCTACTCGCTGGTGGGGTGCTGTGAGAAGCAGAAGAAGCCTTGACTGTATGTAAGCACTGCTCAGTAATAAGAAAACATCCCTGTATTATCAACATGTTTCCAGCACAAACCCCCAACATAGCCCCATACTAGCTACTATGAAGAAAATTAACTCTCTCCCAGCCAAAACCACAGTCTTTTTAAGAGTTCAACCAAGAGTTGTCTTAGTTGAGGGAACACCACCTGAAAAATAATCTTTTGCTGGTTGTAGAGACAGGTCCAAGCAAACTGCTGAGGAGCTGTAGTGTTTCCAGAGGCAAAGCTGGCTTAAATGTATGGCGTAACATAGCTCTAGAAAAGTTTAAGTTGGACTGTGTAGTGTGCCTGTGTGACTTGTGCTATCCCAGACCTTCCCACCGTTTAGACAGTTTGCTACTAAGGGAAGAGTGGCACAGCTTTAGCAGCCACTTAATGCATTTAATACTACCATGGAGTATTAACAGGTTTACACCAACCAGGGTCTTTTTAAGTTAGATATCTTTTCCAGAAGCTGTGCAATATTAATGCTAGGGTACTTAAGAAGCTGAATGGTGGCAGGAGAGAGGGAACAGCTGCTTGATAAGAGCATTTGCAAATACAGTATTTAACCCTGCTGTAAAGGAGAGTGGCTGCTGGCTTTTCCATTGAAAGGCTTTAGTGGTTGGATCGCACAGGAAGTGAAGAGGGTGTCAGATTCACAAGAAGTGAACCTGGTGATGTCTAGGTCATGGTTTAATTCATCATATGTAATTCCTGCCATAGGGGGTGTCTTGGTAGGCAGATGCCCAAATTGGAATTCAGTACAATGCTAGATTAAGTCCTGAAAAACTTGTATTATCACTTTTTTAGTGAACAGAAGTGTTTTTTATTTTTCCTGAAGTAAAACCAATGTTATTGTAACACAAGGGTTGCTTGTGTCATATTCTTCCTTTTTTTTTTTTCTTTTTTTTTTTTTTCAAACCAGGACTTGGGTACTGAGGCTAATGGGATGTAGAGGAAGTGCACTGTGTATGTCCTCTGATACCCACTTTATCAGCTTTCAGACTTCAAAAACTTTCTCTTTGGGCAAAAAACTTCTAGTTGTTTTAGTTTTGACTTGATCTAATAGAAGGGGAAAAACTTGTTTTGTAAGTGTGGGACCAAAAAACACTTCAAAAAGACATTGTTATGTATGTATGGCATTTATCCAGTTTCTAAACTCATTCAGTATACTGGTTTCTGGGTGAGAAGAGACAAATAGTCTGGTAAGCATCTGTACAAGCAACTCTATAGCCAGTTTATTTTGTTTTTCAGGGCAGTATGACTGCAATGACTGTATTTTTTCCTTTGGATACAGCTAGACTTAGACTTCAGGGTAAGTGTCAAACTCTCGTTTCTTTGTACAGTGGTGTTCCTGTTCATCTTGGCTTGGGCGTTTGTCAGGGTGATTGTAAGGGACCTATCTTGCATGAACAGGAATCTTACTTGCGTAACACTAACACAATTTAATCACTAATAATTTTTCCAGCTGAAGGTGATTCTCCCTCTTGAAAGTATTAGTCAACCTTTTAATTAGCTGAAAAGGCTCTGTGGTGTGTGGCCAGACATGGCTTTTAAATTATTATCTAAGACCAAAAAGAAAAACAAAGATGTGGATCACATAATAAGGGTTACATTTCTGTGTTGTTGCTTTTGGCTGCTGAGAACACTTCAAAACACAGGGACAGTATAATGAAAAACTTGTCTAGAGTTATTCCTGAGAATCGTTTAAAGGGAAAACTCAGGGTTAGAACTGGGAGTAGGAATGTCCTATATTTACAAAAATGCAATCTAGGTATAAATGAGTTTGTTCTAATGCCCTGTCTCCCAATCAGAAGTCAGAATCACTAAGCATTTTAGCACTGTGACTAAAGCATTATTAAGAACTAGACGGAGATAGTCAGCTAGGTTGTCAGAAATATGTGATTGAGAAATTAGCACCATATTGCTGTTGAGCAGCTTTCAACGCAGGAAAAGAGTCTTGTGCTAGGGCTTAGCTGTTGGCAGATTAATTATTGTAAGAGATTGCTCTACTAGTGGCGCTAGTCTGGAGTCCAAGGTACAATTTTGAGGGCAGTTAGGCAGGCCTAGTTCTAGTCCCTTACCTAAGGGGAACATACCTTTTAGTTCATGTCACAACTGTCAGGTTAGGAATTTGTAACTACAGATACTCTGGTGTACAACAGAACCTGCTACTCTGGGGAAGAATGGAAAAAGGAAGTAGCTGTACCTAGCAAATGAAAATAAGGAGATGCGTTCTGGAAGTAGGGAATGTCTATCCTTTATGAGGAACATCTCTTCTGGGGTACGTTCAGAATAGGAAAGAAGAGGACTTGAAAATGGATGTGAAAAATCAGAACAATCTAAAAGTTTGATTCTTCTGTTTTCCAGTTGATGAGAAGCGGAAGTCTAAGACAACACCAGCAGTCCTACTGGAAATAATCAAAGAAGAAGGCCTGTGAGTAGACACTGATTTTCCTCTTGTCTTCATGTAGGCAAGCTCTAAAACTAATTTGAATTTGCTGTCAAAGTGGAATAGTTAGCCCATATAGACCTATTTTTACTTGGAATTAAAATGTCTTCATATAAGTGTGATAGGACTTACATAATCTTATGTGTTCATCTTTAGCTAAATCGAATTAACTTTCTTGAGCACCTTACACAACGGAGCTGTTCAGTGATGTAACTGTGCATCCATTAGGGAGGTAGCTGTGCCTCCTCAGAAATGCAGGTTTGTACAGAAACATACCTTCGTATACCTGACAAACCAGCTTCGTCTGCCTGGATTCTTGGGTGTGTCCATTTCTCATAACCAAGACGAAACTCTTAGCAGCTGAGCCACTTTCAAGAAGAGAATTGAGACATGTTTCCCAGTTGCAAGTTTTTTCACCTCCTAAGTACATGGAAGTAAACAGCGAGTGACTCTTTATGCTGATGAGATTGAAAATCTGTCTAAAAGCAGTTAAATTTCAGCAGTGCTGTGCTTTATTTGCCACACAGTCTGAGCTGAGCTGGCTGGGAAAAACATTTGTTACATGAGGGTGTCAAGTAAATGTCAATTAAAAAAAAAAGTGAAAAAGAAAAAATAAAAGGTTAATTGAAACAGAGACTGCAAAAGTAGTCATCCTACTTGTCCTGTGAAACAGAAAAATCAGCAATTCTGGCAAGAGGTAACTAGTGTTTCTTCCAAAGGTATTGGCAAGGCCCGTCTAAGCAATGATACTAGTTTTAGAGATGTGTCCAAAACCCCACAACAAGTCCAAAATCTGTGATACGAGATCATAAACATCTTGTTTGCATTAGTTTTTAGTCTTGTCTCGTATTAATTACACTTTTGTGAGACTGCATTTCTCATCTAGGTGTAACATAAAGCAAATAGGTTTAGCTAATAGAATTTATATAGAAGTTTATAAAATGGCTTTGCTTCTTCCCTGTACTTTCATCCTTTTCTAGGGGATATGAGAGGTGTTAACTGGTGTGCACTGAATTCTTTTCAAGGTTGCAGTTTGGAACACAAACTTAGGTTTCATTTGTCTGCAGAAGGATTTGTATGTGAATTATGGATGCCAGCACTGACAAGTTATTAAAATAAACTAATGGTTTTTGTCATAGTTTCATGTTTTGTGCTGTAAGATCTTTCTTTTGGAAATTATAATCAGAAATTCTTAATCAAGCAAAGCCAAACTAACACTCTTAGTTAGTCAACACTATCCCCAGAGGGTGTTTTTCCCTCTTTTTTTATTGGCAGCACAGAAGAGAGGTGATGCAAAAATTGTTTTAAGTCTACTCATGACTAACAGGATAGTTAATTTGTAATTGCAACTGAATGGTTAACTAAGCCTGTAACTTTAGGAACAGTTTTAATAATGTGTTGTATTCCCAGCTACATGGGAGGGGTAGTACTTGATGCATCTGAGATGAAAAAGTAGCATTTATGTCTTAAGAACAGATGCTGCATTTTCGAGAATGCATCTTTTATAATCTCCTTCTTGGGGACCCTTATATTCTGTGTATTCCCAATATTTTAATGAATACTAAAGAGCCTCCATGATTACTGCTGGTCATTGAGGAGATTTCTTATGCTCTTAACATGATACCGGTTCTCCACCTGTCCTGTGCAGCTTCAGTGAAGGCACATGTCATTATCTTTTTTTGGATGTATTGTAGAACATGTTGACTATGTAGGGCAGTTGTTGAGGTGTCCCTTTTTTACAGGCTCATCAGGCCTGTCTGAGAAGGGAGCTTTGTTAGTCAGCTGGTGTGAAATCATTCTTAAATCAAGATAGATTTAGGTGATACACAAACAACGACAATTATTCACAACACCTGAAAAATAAGATAGCAGTGAATCATAAGGGGATATTCAGTTTTTCCTCTGTGGTTAATCTAGTTAAATTTAAATAGGCAATATCTTTTTCTTGCTTATCTGACTGATTTGCTGTGGACTTTACTGCAAGGCATTTGTTAGAAATTCCTTCCGCCTGAATATCTCATGCCCCAGGTTGCATACTTTGGAAAAATCTCCTTGGTGGCGTATATTAATTTCAGTAACTAGTCTTCCATCTTTAAATTTTATGTAACAATCCAGACATATTTTTTTTTCTTCCTTACTCTTTTTAAAAATAATTTTTTATTGAAGGCGTAGTTGTCTTATTTTTTTTCTGGCTATGTTAAGCATTGCTTTGTTTCCTTGGAGATGTGAGCTTCTCTTTACTGGGGTGTTATCTTTTGTCTTGGACCAACAACTCCGTTTCTCAACAAAGATGAGAATTCTCATTGGTATGTTTTAGTATGTGGTTTGAACTGACTATATCAGTCTGTAGGTAACATATTTACTTCAAGCATATTCATCTCCTCTAGGTTTGTAGTTCATTGCTGGCTGTTGGTAGAGAGCAAATACAGTGGTAATCTTGGACTGAGTGAGCCTCAAGCTTCTCACTGTAAATATAAGTGCTTTTTTTTTTTTTTAAATGGTACAGTCAGGAGTTTAGTATGGTATGATTTGTTGCCATTAATGATAAAGACATTTCTAGTTAGTATTGTAACACACAGTGTTGTATCTCTGGGACCTTCCACCAACTTATAAAGTCAACCAGGTCACGTAAGTACTTTGCTGATCCTTACCATGACTTTTTCCTCTCCATTAGGTTGGCACCATACAGAGGATGGTTCCCTGTCATCTCCAGCCTTTGCTGCTCCAATTTTGTTTATTTTTATACATTTAACAGTCTTAAAGCTCTCTGGGTCAAAGGTCAGCATTCAACCACTGGAAAAGACTTGGTTCTTGGTGTTGTTGCAGGTAATACTTAAAAATCTCAATTTCATCAAAAATGTATTTTTAGTATATTCTATCTAATGTTTTTCTTTATGAAGCCCACTGGAGGTCACGCTGAGTGCTCATGCCTCCCACTGTGTGTAGATCTGCTTTGTTGTACAGCTCTATTTGGTTGGTCTTCTCTGTCCTCCCCATCTCATGAGCAGGTGCAGAAACTGTTCCTGTTGTGATTTCTGGCACAGGGCACAGTGCTGTTTCGGTCTAATATTTTGTTTCTGTCTGGTGTGTTGTTTACTGTGGTATCTAAGCATTATCTTTTAGATGTTGAAGACAAGTGGCAGGGAGAGGTGATAGGTTTTTTTCCCAGATGCATGCCAGTTCTGAAATATTTTTGATTAGAGTAAGAGCTTTTAGTGTAAGGATTTGGGTGCCAATTTTCAGACTTCTTTTTGGATCGTCATCTGAAACTGACAGTAAGTCCCTAGATATATGCAAGTACAGTGGGAACTTTATGTTCTTTTTCATCCCTTCCTCTCATGTGGATGCTACAGTGGCTTCTTTGAAGAGATCATGACATTAGTGGCTTTTCTAGCAAATCCACTGTGGAAAGTTACCACTGTGTGCCTGTGGTTGCCTGTACTATTCTACAGGAACAATTGCTCATGCAACCACACTGAAACAAGCTGATTGTAAAAAAAAAATCTGTGAAAAAACCCAGAAAACACACAAAAAGGGCTGGGATTATTTGGGGGGTAGGAGGGTGGTGTTTACCTTTTGCTAGTTTCTTGTACTTTAAGTATGTATGCACAATGAATGGATGAATAGTTGGGGGAAAGTAAGGAAAGAAATTCTTAAGCTGACTTTATCACTGGGGGAAACTTTCTTGTAACTCCATTCTGGAACAAAGGCTACAGGATTTAGGGTAATATCTTGCCAGTTAAATGATTTATTCAGTGTCTGTGATTTATATCCTTATAATGTAATAATATCTGGTGTAAATTGAAAAATTCTGCTTGGGTGTTGACTAATTCTCCTTACCCATCTCTGATTCCTCCTACTGGTAGGAAATACAGATTGGAAAAATAGGTTGAAAAAAAGATTACCTTTCCAGTCTGGAAAATAAAGTTTTATCTCCTTTAACTGAGTCTGGGTAAAAAATTAGAAGTATATTGTACTCTAACCTGTTGCTTCATAATGTAATCACCTTGGCTTTGGTTAAGAGAGATTAATGTGGCTTGTCTTTCCTAGAGCTTGATTTTGCTTAAAACTTTTTTGAGAGCTGATTGTAGTCCTTATAACAATATTTCAGTATCCTTCATGTTTATATCCTTCTTTTCTGAACCCTCTTAAAGGAAAAGAGAACAAGCAGGGACAATATAGGTAGTAAAGTTTCACCTTTTTCAGATTTACTGTTCTTGGTAGTGGTAGACTGTGTCCATCTCAATATAATGGAATAATTCAGTCTGTCACTCAGACTCCTGCCAAAGCAAGCCATGTAGAAGCAATTGCTAATGTCTGTGGTGAAGAAATATTAATAAGATAGATCAGAACTTTATTTTTACATAGTTACTTCAAAGTAACTGCCTCCATCATTACTGAACAGGAAAGACCTGTACAGGTGATTGCAGAAGTAATGTCACTTAATCCTTCTCCCTGTCAGTTTAGAGCTGTACTTTGCAATACCTCTTTGTTGCAGCCTTATGTGTGTTTGTCCATTTCTCCTCCCTCATCCTACTTTCTGATACTCAACTTTCAGACTTTGTTGGGGTTTGTTATTTTGTGTAATCTCTTGCCATTTGTGAGCCTCAATTGAAATATTTGCAGAATCCTGTGTTTTCCACCTTAAGTGTACTTAGTGAGTCTAGAACTAGATATTCTTTTGCCAGTGTAGGAGCTCTGTTCTGGTAACCAAGCTGCATGCATTTATCTGTTTTGATTTCTCCTTATAAAAGAATCTTTCTAACCTTATCCCTCTGTGTTTCTTTCTGAAAGTAGGCAGGGAGCACATCATCGTGGGAAAAGTAGGGATTGAAGTAGTAGAGTAGCTTGTGCTCCAGTGTGGTGTAGTGTGTACCAAAGTATGTACCAAAGTAACAAGTTCACTTCAGATTCCTTCAAAGTGTTCATATTTGGTGTGTTTTGTTGTTTGGTGGGGGGTTTTTTTGGTGGGTTTTTTTTGTTTGTTTTTTGTTTTTTAATTTTGGGGAGGAGTAGCAGAAATGTCTTCACACTGCATGCAGTCTGATGACAGCTAATTCATAGGTGAGCTTTTTTTTGGGGGGGATACATAAAGTAGCTTATTACAAATTACCAGTTTACTTTTGCCTTTATGCTGTGTTATTTTTTTCCCTTCTTCTTAGCAGTAGTTTCAGTAGCGTGTGGATTGGGGTAAAAGGGGATAAGATAACTTGAAATTTTCTGGTTCTGGCTGATTTTCTTTGTGCCATGTTTTGCATTAGGTGTAGTGAATGTCCTATTGACCACTCCACTTTGGGTAGTGAATACACGTCTGAAGCTGCAGGGAGCAAAATTTAGAAATGAAGACATTGTACCTACCAATTATAAAGGCATAATAGGTAAGCACCTGGGTTTTTTTGTCTTCAACTAAGAGAAATTCATTAAATGAAATGTATCAAGGACTCTGGAGTTGGTAGACTTTTATTCATGTAATCAATTTCACCCTGGAATCTCTATGCTTCCCTATCACTTTGCAGTCATTGAGTTTTACAGGAAGCTGGACTTAGCCATTTCTGATGGTAATTAAAGAGTTTGTAGTATGCACACCTGTAACTAAAATGTCTTTTGCAAAGGTGGGTATCTTATCATACCAATCCTGGAGTAGTAGTGAACCCATTGAGGTGGTAGCTGCGAGTCTGAGTTTGGACAGACAATTTGCAAATTAAACTTCACTCACCTTAATCTCTTAATCACCCACATGTTCAGGCTGTCTTCCTTTTAAAAATAAATAACTAAATAAATGTTGTTGTAATTTTGAAGAAGGCTTAGAATACCTTAATGTTGATGCTGAGCTTGTACTAAAAAGAGCAGGGTGTCTGTGAAGATCATAAGCTTTGTTTATGTATGGTGATGTGAGCAAGAACCTCTTGTCCCTATTTTTCTGTTACCTTCCAGATTGTAATGGAAGATAAAGTTGCATAAAAGACTGCAGTGGATTTTCTATTCTTTGAATATTAGGGTTTAAGTGTAACTTCTCTCATCTTCTGGAGTCAGAATTCCATACTCAAAATTTAAATGACTTTTTTTTCCTACCTTTCTTCTCAGATGCCTTTCATCAAATAATACGAGATGAAGGAGTCTTAGCTTTATGGAATGGTACTTTCCCCTCTTTGCTGCTGGTCTTCAATCCTGCGATACAGTTCATGTTTTATGAAGGTTTTAAAAGGAAGCTTTTGAAAAAGCAGCTGCAAGTGAGTATGTTTTGAGGCCAGGCCATGTTCTTTGACGTGTGTTACTTGAGCAAGTTCAGAAATGTAGGTTTGGTTTTGGTTCTTGTATTTTTGAGGGGTTTTTTTGAGTTAGTATATCTTTAAAAAGGATCGTGATTATGAAGTGAGACATGCATCTTTCATGTCGCTAGGGAAGATATTCCTGTGAAGAATTCCTCTTTCTGTAAAAATAAAACGACACCTCTTGTCCACATTTGTTTAGGTTTGTTCCCAGGTCTTGATTTAAAGTAGAGATTTCAATTCTAATATATGTTTTATAAGTATGTATGTACAGACTGTTTTGAAGTCACCCCTTAAGCCTTTCTCCAGTAAATCAAGTATATTGAGCCTTTGAAGTATCACAGATTTCTTTTGGACCCTGTCATTTTAATAACACTTTTCTCCTGAAGCCCTCAGTTTTTCAATATCCTTTTTCCAAGGATGGACACCAGAATTGAAAATAGCATTGCAACCATACCTCCCCGATTCTCTAAATAGAGGTAGAATCACTTTTCTGTCCCTCCTTTATAGTCTGTGTTCTTTTTCTTTTTTCTCTAGATCAAGCTAGCATCTCACTTGCACCTGTAGTGCTCTCTTTGTGCCAGATGGATCTATCCAGTTACATTATGGACAATATGCTTTTTGAGTGATGAGCTGAGCTTCCCTCTGCATTGTTATTTGCCTGTTGGCTAATTGTAGTATTTATTTCTTGTGTTTCTTTTAAATGACTTAGTTCTACCTTAAATTAGGACATGTTTTTTTCCATGATCAGTGGAGAGAGAAAATACTTTTTTCCCCTAGCAATGGTCATTTTTATTTTGGACAATGTTTTTCTTCCTATTTGATATTTTACTGATTGTTTTAAGTATATCAGATTGACTTTTTAAAGACGGGCATGTTTCTGATTGCAGTCAACATATTTTTGCAAGTTTGGAGCGTATTTTGATATGGCACCTACTTATTTTCAGTGATTAATTCACACAGACTGAGAGGCACTGTAATCAGCTTAGGCTATAACAATGTATTTGGTGCATTGGAACACTGTGGGCTTTGGAGGAGAGGATGGGCAGGTGTTCTTAACTAACAGGGGATGAGTTTTTTAGCCTGTGTCATCAAGACTGAAATTCTACCTGGTAGAATAGTGATTGTGTCTCGGGATTATAGAGTGATGTTTAAGGAGTCTTTCACTGTCACCTTTTCACAAGTGCTGTGTGACTTGTTAGTTTAAATGTTTAAAAGCTGAAATGCTTATTGGTTGATGATATGTTGAAATGTTACTTCCCTATCTTCTGTGTGCTCTCAGTGCTTTACATCAGTCTAGTTGTATGGCTTTATCTCCACTATGTTTTAGTAACCTAGTTATAGTGAGGAACGCAAAAGCTTGTCAGCTGGTAGAAGTTACAAATAAACTTTAGCTGTGGGAAAGTAAGTTGGTTGAACTATAATTAACTTTTAAAAATTAGAAGACCCTGAGACTTCGTGAAATCTTTTATGCCAAAGATACTTAAATAACCCAGTAGCACATACCAGTACAGAATCCCCAAACACATACAGGTAACTGGCTGTGTTGGTACTATGTGGAAGTAAAATATTCTTTATCTGTTGAACAGCTCACATCTTTGGATGCTTTCGTCATTGGTGCAATAGCCAAAGCAGTTGCCACCACCCTCACTTACCCTCTGCAGACAGTGCAGTCAATTCTGCGGGTAAGTAATGACTTCATTTGAGGGTAACTGCCTCTGACTTGTTCTGTGTAATGCAAGCCTTGTTCATATGGCTTGTTTTACTTTGTGTTAATGAACCCATCATTTTGGGAGCTCCTTTTGCACAATGCAGGTCACTGATAAGGATGCCTCTCTTCTTTGATCCTGTACTGACGGATTCTGATAGAATGTGGTATTGTTTGTGCACATTTGTTTCAAGTAGCTGGTAGGGTTGACAACGTAGTGCGTTAGTACAGTGTCTCACAGAACCTGATGCACCATACTGCTTTTAGGCACTACAAAAATGTAGATTTACCTCTTTGAATATAAACAGAAAATGTGTCAAGTGGGAAGTTAAAATTAAATCCTCTAAACCCAGTTTGTTTCCAGATGATGTTGGGTAATCCATAAAAAATTCTGTTCATAGAGGTTTTTTTTAGTTTGGATGATGGCCTGACCATGTCCGTAGCCAGAATGTGATTCATCAGGGGAAGCTGAGCTCCCTCATAAATAGTATCTTTAACCACTTGCCCAGCCTTGTACACTAGTTGTAGTGGTAATGGAGACACTTGAATTGATTTTCACTTGCAATTCATATGTATGCTGGGTAATGCTGCTACCTTCAGTACGTACCAATGTTGTTGTAATATTGAAACAAGACAAAGCTGGGGCAGGGGAAAAAGATGTAGCCGTACATAGGCAAGCATATTATATTTTCATTTCTAAGTTGTTTTGTGATGATTTTTGTAACAGTTAAATATTAATAAATATTTCCCCATGATATATAATGCTATTTTCTTAAGTAAGGAGAGGCCCTAACTTGCTTGTATGGTAAAGCCATTATGTATGTTCTAAAACTTGTATAAATTTTGATCATTAGTTGAATTATTGAATATGAGCCTTCCATGTTAAGGATATAACTTCAGAGTCGTCTAATAACAAATTTTTCTTGTTAATTGTTCATCTGGGAAAAGTGATTTTTCATGCAAGTTTTGTAATTCATTTAGTTTTTTTCTTCTCTCTAATTCAAATGGACTAAATGTATTTTTTTAATAGCCTGTAAAGAGATAGTTTGGATGCTGTATTTCAGACGAACAGAACTTGAATATATTTACTGTGTGTTTGCTGCTGCCCTGAAAAGACACTAGATAAAACTTTTGTGTCTGCACAGCTTTCTACTTGACTATCTAAATGGTGCACAAAATGGCATCTGCATTGTAGATGTGTCAGCCACTTTGTAGTTTTGGCAGCAGTCATCTTTTCTGAAGTTTTCATAACTTTTGATGGTTAGCTGAGCTGGTGCCTTCATTTGATTTCTTACCCTGTTTTAACAGCCTGCACACATCTCAGGAGTTAAACTAATAACACAGACTTCTATTACTGAAGTGACAGAAACAGGAAAACAGTTAAGCAAATACAGCTTTGTTTGGATAAGTTGCAACATCAGTCTGTTTTTAATTCATGTTGTGTTTTCTGCTGGTCTGAAGGAGAACTGGAAGGAAAGTTGGAGTGCTCTATTTTAGCCTTAGCCTTGCACAGCAGTGCAGCTTTCACAGGGCTACATCGATATAACAGCTTCAACCCTCGTTCTTTTCCATGGTTGCTATAGAAATGATTACACTTTTGTGGCTGTTACTTCATGTTTCGTCTGTCTCCTTTTGGCTCTTTGAACAAAAGTCTTCTGTCTCTTGGTGACACTGTCATTCTTTAAAAAATGGGCAGCTCTGGTTGTGCTGTGAGCTTGATGCACTAACTGGTTGCTGCTTACTCCTCATCTCAGCTGAAGTCAGATAGTTCACTGCTGGCTTGCCTGAGCAGTGATGAGTTGCCTTTCTGCTGGATTACTAACCATCAGTGTCCTGGTGGTGGTGGGATTCTTCTCACAGTGGCCCACTGTGGAATAAAGTGGCTACTGCTCTGCGCCAGTCCATCCTCTCCCTGTGATGATGGGGAGGGAATACAAGGACCTTATCTCTAGTTCTACAGTTATTAGGAGTGACTTTGCTCTGTGAAAGAAGTAATAGCCAGAAACCCTGAACGCATCTGGTGAGAACTGCAGAAACGTGCATCTGTGATACCTGTGCTGTCTGCTCCAAATTTGCACTACTTTGTGTTTTCTAATCTAAAGCTAGCATTTTTATCTTTGATGAAGTTTTTGTCACTCACACTCTGATATTAAAAAAAATATGAATAAAAGTTTAGTATTTTCAGAAAAAACATTCTGCATGAAGTATACATTGTATAGTTGTGGGTGTTTGAAACAATTTTGGCAGATTTACACTCAAGCTAATACAAGCTTGATATAATTCATAAAAACTTACCCATCGTAGTTAAGTTCTGTCATCAAAGTAGAAGACTTTTTTCTTTTCAACCTTAAAATTTTAGAAACTTACTGTTGCTTGAAAGTTATTAGTGTTCTTTGTAATGAAGTCTCTACACCTTTTCTTTCAACTTCTTGGCAAAGTGCTCTTCTTGCTTCCATATAATGGACAGTTACCCTGTGTAATTGATAGTGGTAAACAGCTGCTAGCCTTACCATTTGGTGTGTGTCTATCTCCTTTTCAGGCATTAAAACTACATGGTGGTGGTGTTACTCATTAAGAAGTGAAAGTGCTTCTTTAGCCTATTTGTCCGTAAACAATGGATAAATTAAATTTGCCACTGAAGAAATAGCAGTACTGTTACTGTTCTTAGTGATCCTGGGTAAAAAAGTTCACCTTAAAACTCAAACCTCTTTTTCTCTAGTGTAGCGAATGCTAGTCCCTTTGGGAAATCTGCAGTAATCTGTGAAGTATTGATGTCCTAGGGGGAAATTAACTTTTTTTTTCCCTTGATGAACCTTTTTTTTTTTGCAGTACAAGAATAGACAGATGGTACAGAAGAGAGGAGAAGGAAGCACCTAATCCTGGTGCAGTTTGGAAACGTATGAGTAATCTGGGCAGAGACTAACATTGTAACTTGGAACTTAATTAGCAGGTTTTTGGGGGTGTGTCTGAGTCTGACAGTAATCCTTAACATTGATTTATCAATATCAATATCAAATGAGTTAGTTGCTGATGAGAAGATCATGGATTGTGAGCATGTATTTGCCTAATAAAGGAAGATTTCCAATAGCATTCTGTTTTTGCTGTTTCCATCTGATCTCTGAGGACATACAGGAGAGGGACTTATGTCATCCTGGCATTTTCTTGTAATTTCTGAACAAATTGTATACTGTACCTACTGTCAGTGGTAATTTCTTATGCCTAAGAAGTAGCAGTTGCCTGAGTAAGTTCTGGGAGAAACCCACCCACAGGCAGTTGCTCAAGTTCACCTTTCTTAGCATAGAAGCATAATACAGGATTCAAAAGCTATTTGGCTGTGTTGTTATAAATACAAGTGTGGCAACCTTTGTGTATTAGTAATTTATAGTTACAGCATGCTGACAGTACTGTTGACCTCTATCAGATAAGAGTATCAATGAATGCTAGAAATTGCTAGTTTATAATTTCTGCTGAAATTGCTAGTTTATCTCTGGGACAAAATTACAGCAGCAGCTATCATGCCTACTGAAAAAGAGTGTGGGGATAAGCAAATGCAGCGAGTAAAAGAGAAGTATTATTTAGGCCAGGTAGGTGGATCAAACAATTTTGGATTCTTCCACAGCAGTTTGCATCTAAGTATTTTGCTCCAAGACCATCGCTGGGCAGATAAATTTTGGGTTCACCTATGAATCTCCACGTAATAGTGGTTTGCAGGTATATGAGGCTTTGAATATTTGTGAAATGAAAGCTGAGCAAGCCAGAAAGAACTTGCTTTGAACATCATATCCCTAGTAAGACTCAAATTATGCTGTTGAGATCTTGAAAACTGTTTCCTCCAGAGCAACTGAAAGAGGGCAAATACAGCAATGTGTAACACTTCCTTAGAATCCATCTTAAAACCAAAACAGATTTGGTAGCGCATGCCATTTTAATGCTTGCTGTGTAAAATACAGTAGTGTGAGCTTTGGCCTCAGATCTTCACTGATGGGTAGTATAACCTGGAAAATGTTAAAGAGCTTTGAGATAGGCTCTCTAGATTTTACATGTGCGTTGGGTTCTCTGCCTAGCATCATGGGGAAGTAGTACAACAAAATGCTCTTCCTTTTTTCAGTTTGGACGCCACAGGTTGAACCCGGAGAACCGAACACTAGGCAGTCTTAGAAATGTTCTTTACCTTCTTCAACAGCGAGTGAGGTGAGCTTTCTGGGTTTTTTTAATCTATCACGACATAGAAGCCTTGAGTATTACTAATATGTTGAAAATGTTGCTGGATATGACTTGTGTTTCTTTTTGCCTCCCTTAAACTTGCCATTTGAGTAAACCTGGTTATTGTAATATATTGCAGAATAAGTACACAAACCCAAATTCTCCTGAATATCTGTAAAGTAAGTGGTATGAAGGATATATATGGATACTAATTCATTCACTTCTCATCTTTAAAAGAAGCAAGTTTCTTGCACAAACGACTATGTTCAGGATTTTATCTTTAAACTATTATTAAACATAGCTGGCACTCGAGATCAAGAATTAATTTAAGATTCTTACAGTTGTAATTAACTTGTGATATTAATTCTTCTTTGTAATGTACTGATTTACTTAGAGAAGGCTATTCACACTTGTTTTCTTGTTTGTTTTTTTTCCTTAGGCGTTTTGGGTTAATGGGACTCTACAAAGGCCTTGAAGCAAAGCTCCTGCAGACAGTCCTTACTGCTGCTCTTATGTTTCTAGTGTATGAGAAACTGACTGCTGCAACCTTCACAGTCATGGGATTAAAGCATTCGCGCAGACATTGAAAAAGGAACCTACGCCAAAGATGATGGGGTCTAGCAAACACATTCCGTTTCTGAAACCAGGCTGGATAACGAAGGGTCCTCACTTTCTCTATTTTTCTTTTTAGCCACCTCTATCTTCGTTATTTGGAGAAATTTGGAATATACGCTATAGGACCTGTTGCCATGAATTCAGGGATAGCCCATTCCCTACTCTTCTGTGGACTCACTGTGTCAAGAAACAAAGTAGAGACCTTATTTAAGCACTTGACATGACATTTTAACTACTACATGATTTGGTTTACATTATTGGCAAGAATGAGCATCTCTTGCTATGCTTTCTTGTTTTCCCTCGAGTCACCCTGAACTATTCTTCTCTCTTTACCTTCTGTCAGCAGCTGGTGGGCTGGTTTCATGTTATTTTCCTTGACCTGTGTTTTTGTCACTTCATGTTTGTTTCATTAAAATAATTCATAAAGAACAAGGTTTCTGACTAGTTTTCTTTCAAGTATGTTTGTGGCACAAAATGATAGGATATTGCCCCAGATGTCTGGTGGTGAGATTTCTGAACTGCTAGAATATGCAATTAGAAGTGAGTAGGCACGCTTCCTTCTTGAATCCACCTATTTTGAATCTTGGAAATTTTGAATGCAGATACTGGCTAGATTGGAGGAATGTAACCTCTTGTTTTTTCAAGCTGAGTACCTCAAGCTGTTTCAAGAAAATGAACCTGCTACATAGAAATATATTAAGTTTTGTAAACCCCATTCCTTGTGAGAATATGTGAATTTATGCCATGTTCTCGTGCAGACAGGGAACACAGCCCTGTACTTCAAAAGTGGTATGCCCTCTCAAAAATGTGCTTTAATTATTTTTCCACTAATCTTCCCAGATGCTTTCCTGACTGTAAAGCATAAAGGTCATAACTGTTGTCCCAGTTAATGTAAGTGTATATGTTCATTTTGCATAGTTTTGTTCAATAGTCCTAGGCTATAAAATCCAGATAAATCCTGCTGTGTCCATCATCAAGTTTGCAGTAGGATTGTTCTGAGCAGTTTTATATTTGGAGTATTGAGAAATTCCGTGGTATTTTAACATCAAGAATGTCTGAGAGAAGAATTAAGTACTACAGGAAATCCGTTACTGAATTGCTAAATGGCACCCTTTTTTGGGTCTCAGTTCAGTCAATTCTAAGTATGAAATTGGAATGCAATTCTGCAGATAATGTCGTCTTTTGAACAAGAATAAAAACCTTTATACTGACTGCTTCTTTTAAAGTATTGGGAGTATCTCTATACAAGAAAAATGCTCTTAATTCAAGGCTCAATGCTTTTCAGTCCAAATGGGATTTACATATGACAAAAATGAAAAAGCATAATGAGCTGTAATTATACTTTGTTAGATGACATGAAATTTAATGAAAGACTAGACTTCACCACTGGAAACAATCACAGTTCTGAGAATTTCAGTGAAAATACTCTTCTGACTGAAATGTGTTATTCTGCGGAAAGATAGTCTGATTTTTTTTTGGTGTTTTTAATAAATTCTGAATCAGTAGCATGGCTTTTGATAAGCTATCTTACTTTGAAATTCCTGC